AATATTATCGCTATCTTTATGAGATGGATACTCTGGAGACGAAGAAGATTTGGGGAATAAGTATTGGTCGTCGGCTTGCTTAAGCCGTGCTCTGTCTCTTCGGTGAACGTTCATATGGCCACCGAGGGCTTGAGCCGATTTAAATTCTCTCCGGCAGAAGCTACACGTATAAGATCTTGGCGGCCACAAAGATCCGGCGGCATCGTCTTCTGCAAAGGCCAGCTCTTCCCAAGATGACTCTTTGTTGCTTTTCTTGGGGATCCAGAAGCCACCAGGTTTCTCCATTGTATATGACAATATTGATCAGAAGTTGACGATACAAACCCTAGAATAAACCTTTCTTCTTCCTTTTTTTCTTGGTTGGTTAGAGGAACCCTAGATGATTAATATTAGGTGGTGGATTACGGAAGAGATCAAGAATGGTGTAATGAAAATAATGGAGGTCAAGATGTTTTATATAAAAAGAAATTAAAACCAAAACGAGTGGAGGTTTTTTAACGATCAAAGGAATTATAGTTTATTTAATTAATTAATTGGGAAATAATAATAATAATAATAATTGGACCGTAGGGATTTTATGAAGAAAAAGATGACACGAACTTTGGATTTTAGTAAAAGTTAGCGGACTGATCTAAATCTTTTATGTTTGCTTGTTCCAAGTGGCTACCCGCAAATGAACGTAATATTTTTCCTTGAATATACAGTAATTTATAGTATTGTAATTAATGTAGTACATATATCTGTTTTAATTTTTTTTTGAAACCAATTATAAATATCCTCACGGTAAAATGGATTATATATATATATATATATATATATATATATATTTGCTAAATGAAATATCATTTCAAGAATTTAGTTTATTAGAAATATTTTATTAAATGAAATATAATAGTTTATTATTAAACTAAATTGTTTCATTTAACCAAAATATTTTCTATGATGCTATTTCATCCCTGATTTTTGTGATTATGGATATATTGTTAACTTTAGAACAAAACAAGAGAATTCAAGGGACTGAAACGTTTTATGACTTTTAAATGGATGACTATATACAATGGCTGATCCAAAAAAACAATTTTGGGTAAGGCATATTCAGTGAGCTCTAGGCTTAGCGCCATATATGTTACATCAAAATTTATTTTGTAGAGTAAAAAGCTTTTTAGAACAAAAAAACAACACCTTAATTTATGTCTATTTTCGTTGTAAATGTGTAATATATAATACATTTAATGAATTACAACAAATGGTAAAACTCATGCTGATAAAATACTGCAAACTAGTTCATAATCGAACTCAATAGAAAATAGAAAAAAGAATTTATACTTTTGTAAAAAAAAAATGCTACTTTGTTTTTCTGTTGTATCGGTAAAGATGAGAACAACACTGACCAAGCGAGGTTTTGGGCTTTAACCATACAAGGCCCACATGAATACAAAGTATAGAGTTTAGTTGTCCACTAAAAACCTAGTTCTATAAGGAGATTATTGCCTTGAGAACAAAATGATTTTATTCCCAATGAACAAGCAAACAAGAAGTTCAATATTTTCTTGTCGAACTTTTTGTCTTCATACCTTTACAATAAAGTGATTAACTCATTACAAATAAATTGTGAGGAATACTAGAAACTTGGATTTATTGACATGATGTTTATTGTTTTAGACATTTTATCTTCATTTGTAACATCGTGATAATGACACATGTTCTAGTTTTTTTTTTTTTTTTTTTTTGGACAAACAGATGTTCTAGTTTTATCTATCAAATTTGAGGAGAAAATATTTTAGTGTTACAAAAATATATAGAAAGGTCTTTTGTTTTTCAATGTTACTGTTAACCTTAAAGTCAAGTTTCAATCAGATAAAGAACTATATGATATAATCACAGTCATCATACAGGCAGATGAAGATAACCATTAAATCAAGACGATAGTCAATCATACTCAATTGGCTTCTTCAATACCAACGGATTAATTAATTCCTCAATAGCTAATATATATCTTTTTAATATTTTGACTATACCCAAATAGTTTAGTGGGCACAATTTCGTAACCTTCTCTTATTTTTTTACACCTCAAACAGTCAAACGTCATCATATATATAACAAATCTTTTGACATCATACGTTATTTTCTATAATAATCCAAACACATCCCCCACCTTTATAAATATATTATGATACACTTCCCATTATTCAAAGATTTTATAGCACAATTTTGTTTTTTAAAAGCAATTAATTAACTACTATAGTATACTTTACTAACAACATTTGAAAAAATATACAAAAATTAAAATTTTATCATTATCAAAGCAGTCCAGCTGCATACCATTATCAAAATTGGATGTGGATAAACTTAATTTGATAAATTTCTGT